ACCTCGACTGGGGATGAACTCACAAGCCAGGCATGGGTCCTAACTGGGAATCCAACCAGGGACCTTTTGCTTTGTGGGATGATGCCCAACCTACTGAGCCACACCGGTCAGGGAGAATTTCATTCACCTTCAATCAAAGATGGGGAACAAATAGAAAAGTGTGCCAAGGGAGGAAAGAAAATAGTAGATGTGTCACCAGAAGCAAATAGGTTGGCTGTAAGGAAGTCTGTGGTGAGTGTCATAACTCTCCTTCTCAGAAAAAAACATTACCAATGCCACATATTAAAGTCTGAAGCCACGGTAGTCCTCCAGTGGGGTCGGAACGATCAACCATGCTGAACACATCACTAGTCCACAAAATCATTGCCAGATTTCTCCCACAGCGTCACAGCGGTGATGGTACCTCTGAGAATGAGAAACAGGACTCCAAAAAGTAGAGTTTTTTGACTTTTATTAAGACTTTTCCTGTATATGACCTGTACTAAATTACATGGGTGTTTAGGCTCCTTGTCATTAACAGGATCCCAGATGCACAGGGAATGTTAAAGAAGACAGGGGAAGCCTGTACTTAGTAGAAGCCGGGAGAGAGAGATGAATTCTGTAACCCACAGCTAGATCAACTCCTCCCAGATGGAGTGATAAAGTGGAAATCCACAGGGTGCTTTTGTCTAGGATAAGGCATAGGATGATAATACTAACTCATGTGGAGCACAGTGTGCCTATTCCTGTCAGCTCAAGTCACATCTCAGGTGTGCCACTGGGGACAATACTTGCTGATGTGAGGGACTGGTGGCATCCACAGACCTGGATTTATGTGTAATTCTGTTCTCTCTTGCTGTGGACACAGCATTTTGTGGAAAAACAAATATTTTTCACCCCCAGAATTGTGGCTTAGTCTCTTAGCATAGGGGGGTAGAATGTGGGACAAGTTTCATCCCAGAAGCAGCCTGTGGTTCTCAATGAACGTCCTATTTTCTTTCTAATGTTTTCCAGCTGGGTTGACTTCAGACATGGGGAGGTCAAATGATTTACTCAAGCACCCAGTGAAACAGACCAGCTGGGACTTGAACTTGGGGACTTTGCTGGTGCGCGGTCAGCCTCTCCGCTTCCTGGTTTAGCCGCCTCTCTGTTTGTACCACACAGCCCGCAAGCTGTGTCTGGCGCAGGCCGCCTGCATGCAGGGCTGGAGTAAGAAGTGTGTTACAGGTCAAGTCTGAACGTTCTGGCAGTCCAGTGTAAGGCAGATTGCTCCATGCCTGCTCAAAGCATACAGTGTCTGGCGAAAGCCAGATTGAAGATAGCTACACTCACATGCCAAGATTCCAGAAGGAAAAACTTAGCTCACATTTTTCCCTTGCATGGTGATTTTTCTTCCCCTCCTTTTCCCCCTTCTCTTTTTTTCTCTTCTCTCTCTCTCTTTTTTTTAAAAGGGAATCCCCATGTTTACACGTTGAAATCCAAAATGCACAAGTGGTCAGTTCACGATTCTGTGACCCATGAACATCTGTGGGCCTGGGTGTTCCCTGGGAATCGGCGGCGCTCGGAGCTGTGAGTCAGGCCTGCCCAGGCAGGAAGGAATTCTCAAGCGAGGGAAATGACACAGCCGGCGAGCGAGGAGGCCCGCGAGCGCTCAGGGCCTGGCGATCCTCTAGCTCTGGTTTTCAGGGGCACGTCTGCACTCGACTTCACCTAGTTTTATGAGTGTCATATGACTTTAATTTTTGGGATGGGTCCACCTGAAAATCCTTACAGGAAGTAGGACATGAATCTTCATTTTGCCTTTAAGAAAAATAAAACTCTATAATCTGAGATGGGTAAACGTGGCCCGATCTGTTTATCCAGAAACAAGAACCTCTCTGTGTCCTTTCAGTAGAGAGAAAAAAAATCTAGAATAAAACATACTTATTTTGACATCTCTCTCTGAGGACTAATGGGTTGGAAACCAAGAGGGCCTCCCTCAGGGCAAGGGCGGCCCACAGCCACTGATCCTCGGAGCGCTGCCTGGGGAGGGGGCTTTAGTGTGGCAGGTGGTACTGGGTTTGGCTGAATGTGTCTCATCACTTCCGCTGCGGATTCTAGGACAGTTAGATGGACCCTGACTGTATGAGCATTTTCAAATTTTAATTTGGTAGATACTCCAAAGCTAATCGAACCCTCAGTGGAAAAAAGTCTGTGATGAACTTGCATCTCCTGAGCTGGATTCCCTGACCCGTAAACCAGGGAAAGGACTGGGTAACTGCGGGGCCCCTGATCTCTCTGAGCCTGTGATTTTAGGCTGGCTTCTCTCCTCATTAGAGTTTGGTTCCTCTGATCTACCATTTTTGCTGTAATCTGAGTCTTAGGGGCTGGACTGTGTCCCCACAAAGTTCGTATGTTGAAGTCTCAACCCCCAGTGCCTCAGAATGTGCCCTTCAGAAGGCAGGGCCTTTAGAGGTAATCAAGTTAAAGGAGCTCAGTAGAGTGGGCCTTCGTTCAACGTGACTGGTGTCCCTATAAAAAAAGAGGAAACTTGGACAGACAGGAACGTGCACAGAGGGTAGAGTTTGTGAAGACACAGGGAGAAGACAGCCACGGGCAGGCCAAGGAGAGAAGCCTCAGTGGCAATGAACCCTGTGGACACCGTGACCTCAAACTTCCAGCCCCCTGAACTGGGCAAAACACACTTGTGCTGTTCAAGCTGTTCGGTTTGGGGAACTGTGTTATGACAGCGCCAGCGGACTAATACGCTGGGTGACAGACACCACGATGACTTGTGTGTGAAAGAAGTTCCATGGGTTTTTCTTAACAGACTCCTAATCTTGGTTTCAGCTAAAACAGTCTTTTCTTTTGCAGGATATTCAAAATACTCTTTAAAAAATTGGTTTCTTTGTCATCAGATGTGAAGTAAGTGATTTTAGTAAAATGAATCCTCTTTATTTTCACTTGAAGGGAATTTCACAATTCTGATCCATGGAACTATTTTTCTGAATGGCTATAGATAATCATTTTGCCTTTTAAGAAATACAGCCATCATCTATAAAATTCATTTAAAACCAAGTAGCTCACTGGATAAATTTGCATGTCACAGGACATTTATAAAGGAGGTCAGTCCAAACAAGCAACTCCAGAGGGGGCATAGTCCAGGTTTTGGTTAGTTAGTACTTTTGCCTTTCAAGTTCACACCGAGTCAAGCATGATGTGACTGGATTACAGAACAACAAATTAAGTGATAAAGGAAGGTAACCTCATATCACTTTGCTGTTTGAGACTCTCAGATTTTTGCTTGAAATAAAGTATGTTATTATCCAAATGGATTTTTCTTTCATTTCCTACCAAGATTCCTATTCTGTTCATTTACAAAGTAGTCACGTGCAGTTGGAATATAGTGTCTAGTGTTTAGAAAACACGGGGATTCCCCCTCTCTGTGTAAGTCCCTGTTGATCTGGCGATGAAATTTCCCAGGGACAGCATTTCTGGATCAAAACTGCTCCTGGGGGAGGTTAGGATTGTCCAGCTTTCGGGGCTCTACACATCTGAGAAAGGGACCCGCAGGTGCACGCCCTTGCCTTCCCGGTCGGTCATTGCCAACCTGCCACGTCGGTACCCACTATCAGAGGCTGGCAGTTCCAGTGAAGGGCCTGGCACCTACCCAACCAGTGGGCACAGCAATGACGTCAGCAGCTGTCTAGGGATTTACATACACAATTAAATGCATGAATGACTAGCTCAATGTCTTCAGCCTTTTTAGTGTCATCTAATTATAAAAATGAGAGTTTACAGGTTTTTAAAAGTATGTTTTTCTAAAAATGATACCTTAAGGGAAAAAGCTTGGCCAATCAAGGAGGCTGAGGAGCTGCAGGCACTTTTATTCTAGGTATCAACAGAATGGAAAAATTTTTCAGCTTATTTATATTCACTTATTTACATGGGTAATGAATAACTTAAGGAACACTTCATCTCAAACACAGATTGCTTTTATTTCAGCTCAGCTCATTTCAGTTGCACATATATTTTTCAATTTCCATCCATGTCAAACACCATTTTTTTCTTTCTTCTTAAAAAAAATTTACAAGCACTTTTACGGCACTCAAGGAAAGTAGGCTGAAGGTTCATAATAATAATTTTCCTTTTAAAAAACATCCATCAGACCAAAATAAAATCATTTTAATTAACTCCTTCCTGAGTAACTAAAACCTTGGAATGTGCTGAAAGGTTATAATAAATAAGGCAGTCAAAGATCAACCAGCTTAAAATGTATTTTTTAAATTAAACTATGTAAAATGTACAATATATTTCATGAAGTACAAACTGTGTTGGGCTCAGGGCCAAAGAAATGTTGTCATGTTTGCCAAATACACTGACGAAGTGCTTTGCCTTTATGGACCTCCAGGCTGTTTGTTAGCACAAAATAACATTAAGGCCCTGCAAGTAAATCAGTCAGCATCTTTTGTTGTGATGTCATAATGATCACTGCTGACAATAAATGGCCTTTGAAAACACAGGTAGAAGTGCTCATGTGAACTTGCACTAAGAGTTAAGATACATTTGTCAAATGACCAATTGTCCCGATGTTCTGATAAGAGCAGAGAACTCTTAGCCAACCCAACTGTATTTCCAGATAGTGAGATTGCACAGTGTGTAAACTAATTATCATTCTTTATATGCAATTTCATAGAAATGGCTCACAACATACCAGGTGGCAGTTCTTGATCTTGTTTTGAATATGATAACTATTCTTCAGGTTGCTTTTTAAAGTATGTCTAATGGTAGGGCCCTGGTCTTTCTAAACGGGACAAAGGATATGTCCTCTTCTTGTAGAATTGCTCACAATTCTAGATGTCCCTTAATCACTTCGCCGCCCCAGTTCTCTGAGGCAGAAAGGAGGCCCACAAGTGGCCAAATGCTGGACTTTGTGCCTCTGCGGTCTCAGCCTTCACTGGACTCCTGCGGGGCGGAGCCTTCTTAATACACCTCATGATAAAGTAGCTTTAGTGCACACTTGACAGGTTCCAAATGACTTGCTTTATATCTTGGCTACCGTCCAATTTTAGTGAACGCAGAAAAAACTCTAGAGAGACTTGTTGGTTTCTGAAAAGTAGAAAATGTGTAGCTTGTGTAAAGTTAAGAGTCTTATTTACTATTAAGTATTCCCAACTCACACTTGGCTCTTGAAAGCCTGGCTCTGGGGGAGGAAAACTGAAGAACACAAAATGTGTGGCACATATCCTGCCTGCCAATACCACCTGCGCCCAAGTACCAGATGGTTGTATATCATTCACCCAGGGGTATGTGTATTTTGCAGTGGGGGAGGGGGCATTTAAAGAGGAAGATATTTCTGAATCCAAAGAAATAGGTTTCTAATGATTGAATCCAGGCCTCAAGGATAGATGGCAGCTGATGGGTGTAGGATGGGGAGAAGATATTTTGGAGAAATGACACTGCCAGACATACACTCAGAGCAATTTGGGGGCAGACACCTTCTCATAAAGCGGTCCGAGCAGTCTCTTACCCAGAAGCTCTTGCTTCTTCTCTTCTTGATATCCTAGTAGGGGTTCTCAGGAGTGAGCTGCTCCCGTAAGAAATGAGAACAGTTTTCCTGCTGCCTGACAGAACTCAGTGCCCCTTTTTACCAACCATAGGCACCTCTGAAGGGAGAAGGAGGTAAAGGGTACCAGGTACTGTGGGACCCCACTGGCTATGGATGTGCCTGATAGGTTATGCATTGCCTCGTTGGACTTAGCACATCTACTACAGGTTAAATGTCAGAGCTAAATTGGTTCCTGGGTATCCAGTTAAAACAATGCTAGGAGAGAAATACTTCATATTGGGTGCAAAGGACAGGAGCATACCATTTTCCTAGGTCACATGACCTCGAGAGTGGATCAGTTTTGCCTATACTCTTCGTCCTGCAGTAAATCAATTCTTTTTCCTGCCATGCTACTTTGAAATTGGTCAGAATGGTGCTGGGACAAGGAGTATCTCAGCAGAGCTTGCCATGTATTTTGACCTTGAAAGGTACTCAGGGCTCTGGGCTGGTTGGGACCGTGACTGTGGCACAAGCTGACTTGCTCCTTCAGAGATAACAAACATGCTGCTCTTGGCAAAAGTGTCCCTTGGGACGGACCGGAGGCAGGGTTCTACCTGGATGGGTAGGGACCACTAATCCAGGGACGTCCTCTCTTTTGATGTCTTTATATGTCTTACCTTCTCCTCTTAGATCCTTTTGGAATGGGTTCCCTGGTCTCTGAAGTGGTTTTCTATTTTTACCAAAATATACAAGTCTAGATGTTTCCTACCACTGAGGTAATATTTTTTACAAGTCATTTTTACAAATGATAAGTTATTGGGCAATGGACTATATTCCCCCTCCCCCTTTCTCTCATTATATTAGGGAGGGGGAAGCTATTTTATGATGAGATGCCTTGTGACGGAGTCATCTTAGTGTACCTGGGAAGGACCCAAGGAGCCAGGAAAAACACAAAATAAAGTTAAACAAATAAAACCCGCAAAACCGGGCATCTCCCAATGACCCCAACCTGTGGGAATGTCTTGTTCTTTTTAATGCAGCCGAGCATTAATTTAGTCCCTTCAGGATTTTTCTTCCCCAAACAAAAAAACAAAAACACCTTTCTCGAAAAAGGGAGAAAAAGCCATTGGAAGCAACACAGGGCTGGCACCATCACCTCTTATAAATATCTTCAAGCCACTTCTCGTCATCCTGTTCCTCATCACCAATGGGCTCCTCGGTCTCCAGGGGAGTTGGAATGAAGAACTGGGGTCTCAGAGGGGGCTGGCTGACATGCGACTTCAGTCCGAACTTGCGCTTCAGCAGGTGGAACTGCTCTTTGACGTAGTGGTAGAACTCGTACTCGTACCTCATTCGCTGGTAGAGAATCTGCACGGCCTCTGGGGAGGGGACAGTTTTCCTCACGGTCACAGTCATGTTTCCAAGTTTCCTATGCTCTGGAAAAGAACCAGGTTGCACATCATGTTTTAGCTTAGAAGGATTAAGGGCGAGGCTGTGTATGACCCGCATAATACTAGCAGCTCCTAAAGGAAGAAAATGAACAGTCAAGGAATGGAAGGGGAAACACGTTCCCAACATGATTTGGAAAGGCTTCACCACATTCTAGGTGTGAATATCATCACTATTAGTTGACTAAACTTAAACAATTTAACATCCTTTTCATGGGGCATGGGCTATGCAATTTGGCCACAATTCAGTTATTAACTCTAAGATATTTTTTGAACAGCAAAATCTACCCATTTTTCATCTTTTACTTCTTGTTGTACATGTAAAGGGCTTTGCTCTCAGAAGGAAACATGGAAAAAGCCATCTCACCACTTTCTAGCCATCTTTTTTTTTTAAATTCTAAAATATTGACATCTATTAATGATAGTTTAACTTGATGCAAAATCCATTTGTACTTTACAACTCCAGCAAGGCATTTGTCAAGAAAAATAAAGGAAGGACTGTTAGATTCCTTAAACACAATTTTAACTGCTGTGCATTTTAAATGGTTATTTTTTTAATTGTGGTAAAATATATAACTAAAATCTGTTTAATTTTATATTAATGCTTAATAACATATATGTGATATCCAACACATATATTTAGATTGTATTATATATTTATATACCATTTTAAAGTATACATATTGGTGGCATTAATTATACTCATAATGCTGGGCTACTGTCCCCACTATTGCCACAATTCTTTCATCAATCCGCACAGAAACTCTGTACCCATTAAATGTGAACTCCCTATATCCCTCCTCTAGCTACTCCTCATTCTGTTTATGAATTTGCCTTTTTCTAGGTACCTCATGTAAGTGGACTCATACAGTATTTGGCCTTTTGTATATGACTTTTTTTCTCCTAACATAATGTTTCCAAGATTCATTCACATTATTGCATGCATCAGTATTCCATTCCTTTTTATGGCTGACCAATATTCCATTGCATGGATATATCAAAATTTGTTTATCCATCCATCCATTGGTGGACACTTGGGCTTCTTCTACCTTTTGGTTATTGTGAAGAGTTCTGTTACAATCATCTGTGTGTGAGCATTTGTTTAAGTCAGTGGTAGAAACCAACACAATCATCATGATTTAGGGAGTTTTTCAATTCCAGGAAAGCTTTTCTTGGGTGCTTATTTAGCTTGAGCGTGTAATTACGTGACCTGAGATTACAGAATTTGGGAAAGTTCAGCCTCTTGCAATGACCAGCATCTGAACTCAGTAGTGTTCTCCCTCAAGTGATTTCTGGTGATCCCACTTGGATCCCCTTACACTGACTTAGGTTACCCAAATTTCACAAGGTAATGAGAGACATCTAATTAGATTTGTATTTGATATCCCAAGTGACCTTTCCAACCCCATTTTAATTACACATCACCTCACTCTCTTGGTGAAGTGTTTTGGCTACTTGGTAGTACTAGTCAGAACAACCAGCAAGAGACTGAGTCCTGTGTTTGCTAGAAAACTCTAGAGGTTAGAACAGGTTTTTAGGGTAAGAGTAAGGGGAAACTTTTCATTTGTGGCAATAAGACAAAGTTTTGAAAGATTGTCCTTTTTTAGACAGCAACGATAGCCAAGAGTATTTCAGTTACCCCAGTCCTCCTTCCTCTTTCTAGCCTCCTCCCTAAATTCCCTGTGTGAACCTGAGGGACAGTGACAGCTAGTTCAGAGGATTCTCATGAAAGCTAATTTTTCACTAAGCTCTAGCTTTGCACCAATATTCAGTTCTTGCTTCAATCATTTATCTCCTTTTTCTCTCTGTCTTGCTCTTAGCCTGCCGTCTCTTTTCTTCCTTGTCAACCTCTCCTCAACTGGCCCCTTTCCACCAAAATTCAAATGTGCTCAAGTCTCTCCTTTCTTAAATAAAATTCTTGTCTCTGGGTCCCCTTTCACATTTTATCTTTTTCTCCTTTCCATCACAGCTGAACTTCTTAAGGAGTTGCATGGATTTGTTTTCATGAAATTTCAACTTCTACACATGACTGAACACATCAAAACCTGGTTTGTGTTCCCTCAATACGCCATTCAGATGACTCTTACTTCCTTGCTGATAGTTCAGTGGGTATTTCTCATGCTTTCCATTGCTTCTTAGCTTGACCTCACAACACTGCCGGCCATATGCTCCATTTTGAAACCCTCTCTTCTGTGGTGTCTGTAACAGCATTTCCCTGGTTGTTCTGATCTCCTTCTGATCACCTCCGGCCCAACCTCCTCTTTTCCACACCCAACCCTCTGTTCCCACCTGCCCTCCAAACATCCGTACTTCCCAGGATTCTGGTCTAGCCTTCCGCCCTTCTCCCTTCCTTATTCTCTGGGTGGTAGCATCCAACCCTCTACCTTTCAGGTTTCATGCCACTGTGGACACAAAACCAAAAGTTTAAATGAAATAATTATAGCGTTTTGATTCTTGTGTTTTTCACAGAGATGGCAAATTTGATAGGAAGTTTAATGGCCTTGCCAGAGGGTTACGACATGATCAGAAATCGGAGTGTTCTTTTGTGACAGAAAGAGCAGAAGTTCAGATTCAACCAACATTGATGGTGAATACCTATTACAAGTTTGGATTGTGCCTATCTGAGTGTTATTTTATTTAATATTCCCAACAACCCTGGGAGGGTCATGACCTCTTCTTTTGGAGATGGGAAGATAAAAGCTCTGGGAGATTAAATGACTTATCCAAGGTCACACATCTAGTAAGGAAGCAACGGAGCTGGAATTTGAGCCCCAGATTTGCATTTGTGCTGAGGTTTCTGCTCACTAAGTATGGGGTCATAACCAGTGACGCTTTTGTGAGCCTGTAGAAAACTATCAGCTTCATATGGAAAGACTAGAGGGCAGTGTGCCTTGTAGTGTTAGGAGGGAACTGTTAAAATCAAATTCAAAGACATACGGTCATGTGTCTTGCTGTACACTAATCAGTGCTATGGAAAAGTCATTCCATTGCTAAGTACTTCTGTAAAACGCCAGACTTTCCCTCCAAACAAAACAAAACGACGTGAACTGCGGAATCGGTCTCTCTCCAGATTGCTATAATAGCAGTTCTAGAGGAAGTTGTTAGGGGTTTTCTGGGAGACTGTTGTTATTTCAGCCACAAAACAATCATTCTTTAAAGATCTATACTTGATATTAGCATCCTTTAGGAAGGGAAGTAGCCCTTGGTAGGTGAATGTATACTTTAGAATTTAACTATTGACAAGTGAAGACCTCACCCCATGAACCTCTTTTGAAATTGGCAGGAACTGAGAGATGAGTTCAAGGGGCTCGTGCCTCTTGTGTCCACTGGTGAAGAGTTCAAAAGGAAGAGACAAAACCAGAGCTCCTTCCATTAAGGAAGGGATGGCAAACATGCAGCCTGAGATCTGACGGGCAGGCTGTGTGATTTGGCCTGTGCGATATTTTTTTAGAAATGGACTTCGTTGTTTAAGACTTGGTCTATTTCACATGGAAGTCTGGACTTCTGGCTTCTCTCAAAGTGAGGCAATATTCTTCTGGAGCTCAGTATGGCTGTCCCCCTGAGAGAGGTCGGTTCTCTCCATTTTATTTCAGACACTAAATGCCAGATCATTCTTTTATGTTACTTGCCAGGCTGCTTATGTGAATGTGAGTGTTATGCTTGTGCTTGGAAGGTTTTGAAATTCTGGGTTTCATAAACCAGGAAGCAAGTGCTTTGTGTAAAAATTAAGGCTCCAATTAGACCTCGCTTGTGTGTCCAATGTCATTTTTCTTTTCTTTCTTTTGCATGTATTTATTGAATAATTTTTTGGTGTAGACATAGGAGTTATAAGCAGTGAATGGGACATCAGCTTCATCATCACAGGCATTTTTGAAGACTCTGAGAGAGCTAATATGAGTTTAATCCTTATTGTAACAATTTTACAGATGTGATACTGAAATTTAGTAACTTCCCCAAGGTCACACAAACAGTCTGACCACTGAGCCAAGTCTCTTTACCCTCCATGTTGCTTGTGGTTGGGTAGGGCTAACGGCATAAGGGGAGAATCTCACTTCACAACCCTGTCACCATGGAGTGGATGGGGCATTTCACTCTGGGTGTTTTGATAGCATCAACATTTCCTCTCCATTGTCAGAAATCCCTCGCGCGGAGACCAAATCTCAAGGGCTTGTCTTAAATACTCTGCATGGCATTGGGTCTTTTATAACTACATTTAACTATTTGATTATTTGGATTTGTGGTGTGCGTATGCCTGAGAGGACAGGGCAGGTTTGTGTATTTTAACCAAAAGACAGAAAACTTTTAGGAGGCCTCTGGGGCACTATCAGACTTCTGAAATTTTTTCTTAACATCCCTGCCAGTATCTTCTAGCTGTTCTCTTAATGAAGCTCGTTATGCTAAGAGTGCTCAGGATAGGGCTAAAACCCGATTCCTCTTTGTACTTCCACAGCTCACCACCTGGGGAAACACAGCACCCTCTGGACGTGCTGGTTGAGTGAATGAAAGACACCAACAGAAGGGAAAGAGCGTTGTCAGACCCAAAGAAGGCTTGTCTGTGTCTGTGCGGTGCTGACATAGCCAAGTGGGGACAAAGGCAATATCAGAGTGTGCTTAATAGAAACTTCCCAAGAGACCCATGAATGTGGGGTCTGCCCTGATGTCTGGGATTCTTCAGCTCCCCCTGGGGTCTGTACATTCCAGTGTTTAACTTTGTGGTTCAGTTGCCTTTTTGGGATGAGATTGTTGGACATGTCAGGTGTTCCTGCCCCTGTTCTTTAATTAATAAGCCCATTTTGGCAAAGAGAATCTGTGGTTTCAGGATGCTTTTAATTTGTTTCATTTTTCTTATTTACCATTAGGGATTAGACAAAGAATATTCTTAATTATTTTCATAATAATTGCAGAAGACTTCCTCAAAGCAGGCACATTGGTTTTGAACTGTGAAATGATCAGAAGGGAAAGCAAACAAACAAACAAAAACCAGCCTC